GCGCTGTCAGTAATGGCGTTATGGGGCCATCTAGCAGCGGGGCGCGATCATGACTCCTGGTCGACACCGTGCATGCGCGAGGTGTTAGTGCACCGACGGAGTTGGTAGCGTCCTGCGTCCTGAAGGGAGCCGTAGCTCTCCTCGGGAGCGGTGAGGCTGCCGAACCACTTATTGTTTTTCTGTTCATTGTTTTTAACTGCGCCCTTGACCTTAGGCCTGGATGTGGCAGCGGAACATGCTTTATTGTTAATAAAGAGTGAGGGTGTGTGCTTGTACGACTTAAAGAGAGGGCAGAACCTGCTGCCTCCGCTGCAAAGTCTCTCTTCTCCTCGACCGAGATGTGCCGGTGCCTCTCTGACACTGCATGCCACAGGGGGTGTCGAGGGGGCAGGAAAGCCCCCGCATCACACTCCAAAACAGAACAGGTGGGGCTGGCAAACGGGTCCAGCGGCATCACCGGTGGGGAGAGGGAGGCTGTCAAACCCCCCTCTTCTTCTTCCTGGCCTGCTGACCGGCAGTCTGGACCGCCTGTCCTGGTGGAGCCGCCGTCAGTGTTCGAACCTTCCTGGGCCAGCCTGCTGGGGCGGGCTGGGGCTTCGGCCGCTTAGGGATTTTAAACTGAGGGGGACTGAGATGTCAGCTCTTATCTATGGACAGTTAAGCTAGCTAGCCTGTACGACACATCGAGATATGCTCCAAAGCGAGAAGAGGTGTTTGAATGGTGTCTGCGTTGTAGCGTAAGCTATTTAAGGGTAAGTGGGTCCACTAGACGCAGACACCACGATCACCTGCCAATCAGGATTGGCATAATGAGATAAATGCTTCTGAGGAATACGCGGGGAGGAGCATCCCATAGTGAGACATCGAAACGAATGCAATGAATGAGAACTGAGCTTTCTACAGTCAGTCCAAGAGAACTCCTTCAGTCAGAGAGTTAGAATGGCTTAAAGCTGTGAGGTCATGGTAAAAACCTCAGGTGATTTAAGGGTCCCCTATTACACAGAATTCACTTTATCATGTCTTTTCAACCTAAATATGACATAAGACCCCACACTATGGGAACAAACCATCCTCTTTTTCTCCTGCTCAGTCTTTCAGTAAATATGCAAACACACTGTTTGAATTTGCCTCCCTTCATGACATCGTGACATTTATATAATCGGTTTAGCATTGGACCTCCTCCAGCCCTTCATTGCAGTAGACGGCCCCGCCCACTGAACACGTATTGAATACAGTGCTCTCAGCCCCGCCATCCAACAAAACACCAAGCAGCTGTTCCATCACCGAGCTAGAGGTTGTTCTGTCTGTCTAGCAGAAAGCACTTATGAAGTTTTCCCTGTGATGTCCTCCGGCTGCTCTGCCTCAGCTCTCTGTGATTTACAGTTGACTCCGGATGGACAGATGGCTTGTTGCTAATGCTAGGGTAACTGTAGCTGCTGTTATTTTTACATTTATTTATTTGCCATTCATTTATATATCCAAAGCAACTTACAATTGCTATATATGTCAGAGTCCTCTGGAGCAACAAGGGGTTAAGGTAGGTTAAGTGTCTTGCTCAGGGACGCACAGTGGATTCGAACCCGGGTCTCTCACACCAAAGGCATGTGTCTTATCAGCAAACTCCGTAAACCACTGAAAGTTGAGGCAGAGCATCCGAAGGACGTCGTAGTGAAAACCAGAAAATATTTTTCTCAATCAAATCTGATCCAGTTTCACCAAAATCAGTGAATAAAGTAATAAAGTTTCGTTTTTGTACAGTAGTCAGTAAGGCCTGATGCTCTCGCATAGCCAGCCTTATCTCCTCATCGATTCAGCACTCTGCCAACTTGATCCCGCCCCTCGGGGAGGCAAATGGGAAGTTGGCCTTAAATGCCGCTTTTCCATTCCCAGTACCAGCTCAACTCGCCTCGACTCTACTCGACTTGGTTTGACCGTTTTCCATTGCAGATAGTCCCCTCAATGGTCATCATAGCAACGCCACACACAACTGCCGCGACGCACAGCTGTCTATTTATTTAAGTTAAAACGTTTCAACAGTCCTCAGAATGTAAAGACAGATAAGCGGTATGAAAAGATTCCAGCTGTGTTTTCCTCTGCTGCTGTTGTTGCAGCGGTCTGTGTGACAGCGGGAGCAGAGGGCTCTGTGAGCGGGCGGCTGGCCGGCCTCACACGCTCCTCCCGCAGGTTGGCACAGGCACTTGCGGAGCTCCTCAACTCCTCAACTTTCAAGCACTTTTTTGTTCCGCCATCACTTTTTGTCAATATTCGAAATCTACACAGTTTTTTCTCCTCCAAACTTCTCAGAAGTGGATTTAGTGATGAAATAATGTATGAAAACTGTAAAATATAAAACTTTCTGCTGCTGGCCTCTGTCTGGCGCAGCAATGATGACGCAGTGAATAGTGACAATTCTCTCTGACCAATCAGTAGTCTGCTGTGTTTTCACATCACATTTTAGTATCGCCTCAGCTCGCTTGGAACCTCGACGGAGGTGATACGATGTTCCTGGTAGCAGGTACAGGTACAACTTTTCCACAGTGGAAACCAAACAAAGGCGAGTCGAGCTGGTACCATGGAAAAGGGGCTAAAGAGTATTCAGACGGTAAATAGAGATTCTGAGGCAACAGACAGTACGAGACAAATAATGTGTTTTTTGAACATTTAAGCATGTTTACTGTTTACAGTTTTTTGTGGAAACCCAAAATAAAAGTATGAGCCTGAAAATGAGCACATTTGCATTTATTACCTCAGAGCAGTAAGAGATTCCAGTTTTATGGTGGCATATCTTTCTATTTCTATTGTCATGATAACTGCAGCTAAATAAAATAGTAATAAGATAGAAGTTCATAAGTACTACTACATGCAAGAACCTCCATCAGATCACAATTTGAGCAGTTTTCCTGAAAGCAGAGACCAGTGTATATTCAATTAAAGGCTAGAAACTGAGAAAACACATCGTCTTCTGAAAAAAGCTGTCTGCATTAGCGTGGTCAGGGTGTAAATCAGGGTGGTCACTTTTCAAACTGCTTTCATCAGACTAAGATGGTGGACAGGTGAAGGTTTTCAGTAAGAGAGATTAACAGCAGTGCATGCTGGGTGTTGCACAGATCTACCCATCAGAGTTTGGGAAGGAGAGGCTGAAGGCGGAGGAGACTCAGGGACCGCTGGAGCTGGGTCGAGCCCTGCCCGACGACTCGGACGACGACACCGAGGAAGAGAGGTAACACACACCAGTGTTTCCCATACATTGTTTTATTTGTGGCGGCCTGCTCAATATCAACGCTGACCGCCACATATTGATTTTAGATTTTTATTTTACTAGGCGTATTCGATATTGTATTTGATTGCACAGCTGCACGCAGCACCTCCTCTCGCTCGCTCGCTCACTCGCTCTCTCTCTCTCTCTCTCTCTCTCTCTCTCATGAACACCGCTGCACAAATCTCTCCAACACAGTGCTGTCAATGTCGACTCACCTGAAAAGAAGTTATTAGCAAGCATGGAAGGAGCCTAGCTAATTAGGAGAGTTATATTAAAGTTAGAATACAGCTGGGCTGTTGAGGTTAGCACACTGTATATAGCTGGTAGACAATATCGACTACAGAAAAATTCAGTTAGCTATAGAGACCCAGGCTGTATTCAGAACTACCTACTACATATTACTGGCGACTGCAGTATGTACTGCAAACTGTATACTACATATAGGCCAAATCAATAGTACTGTTAGTGTAGTAAGCTGTTTCCAATACAGCCCAAAACTGCTATTTGTACGAGGCTGTAAACTTGTTTGTTTCTGCTGTAAAGTTGGGCATTTTAACTTTGTGGTCTGTAGAGATTGATTTGCCTTTGGAGCCTCAGGTCCATCCCTTCAGGATTTTGCGAGCGCAACCAATTCACAAATTCAACAAATCCCTGTGAATTCAGTGCAACTTTCAATTTAGACCAATCATCACCGTTTCACACAAAATGTTGTCACACATCAGCAAACTCACTTCCTTGTTTAGAAGACGCAGCAGACATATGTGATACCAACGTCTCACATTTGCCGAAAAAAATAACAGCAAAGGACCGTAAAGTCCAAACACTTTGAGAGAGAATGTCAGAAACACATTGAGGACGTCAGACAAGACAAATCACTGAGACGCAGGCTGCTGCAATCCAGTCAGCTGCAGGAAAGTGTCAGGTAAGCTGGTTTAAATATGCAGGGTTAGGGTCAGGCCTGCCCTGGAGGGACTGCACTTTGGCGATGTGTTCATTTTTCAGGCCCCAAGGTTGCTGCTTGGCGAGTCCCCACAATGTGAATAATACCTGCCCACACACAATATGTTTCACTTAGGAAGACGTTGACTTTTTAAAATTTTTTTCTAAGATATGCTTTAACTCTCCCCAAAGAGGTTGAAAGGAGAAGTATGATTTATTCTCTTTTCAAAACCTAAAACAAATCCAGAAAAATGTTGGCTGTGGATTGTTCCTAATGTAATGTTAGCTAATGCTACCTAAATTCCTACTGAAAGTAATGAAGGCCTACTGTTTCTGCTTTTTAATGATTGTACTATTGAATAGAATCAACCAAGCTTTAAAGGAGCAGTGCCGATATTGTTATCCTTTGTCTCGGTCGTCAGGGGATGCAGAAGTTGCTTACTCTGATCAGTAGGCTTTAGCTTTGTTTTTCACGTCAGTTTGACAGCCTGAATACAATACATGTGCTAAAGTCGACAATAAATTATCACAATGAATGTCAAATCATTATTTCTTTCAAGACTCCATGGCCACTCCTACAGTCTACACTCTACACAGCTTTAAGCTTTATTGCAGTTTTATTACTGACTTCTGTTGCTGCTATTTTCACAGGTTGCACAGAGCACTTTCCAATGCTCCAGTCACTCCATGTTCACGCCGCCTTAATAGTTTTCTTTTTTTTTTTTGTCTCGCCTTTTGTAGTTAACGTTACACAGTTGTGTTGTGTTTTGTCTTGTAAGTTGATTATTATGTTGTTTTGAGCACCTAGGAACTTAATATCTGAATGAATGACAATAAACGAACTTGAACTAGCAGCCAAAAAATGTCCTGCTCAGCTTCCAGACCGCAGTCTGAAGAGATGTTTGTTAGCGCTATTTCTGCGTTCCGCCTTTTCATTCCATCATCATTATGTTATCCATAAACATGAACATTTAGTATTAACAGGTGTGAATCGATTTCGAATCACCCAAATCCGCATTGTGATTGCGATTCATCTGAGAATCGATCCACCCCATGATGCAGGGTTGAAGAGATGAATGTATCAACTCTGTATTTCCTATATAATTGGATACATAAATTTAAAGATCTCACAATGAAGTGTAAATCAATCACCACAGTAAACAGATTCTGTAGAAATTATGTTCTAAATTCTAAATTAAATATGTAAATTTGTTCTCTTTTAAGAAAATTTAATCAATACATGAAGTGAGTTTACTCATTAGTTTACTCTGACAGGAGAGATGATCAGAGGGGCAGAGTTTTTACCACCATCATTATTACAAGGACCGACGTACGGTAAGAGTTTCTCAGTGAAGCAGCAGCCAGTAAAGGAGTAGATAAGAACTGCAGCATCTACGTCATAAAAGGAGACCAGACCCTCCTCATAATCCACAAACACCCCCACCTTCTGAGGCCGAGACTTCAGAGAGAGACGGACTGACGGGTCAGCAAGAGCACTGTACTGATTTCCATTTCTCAACCAAATAGTCCAGTAACCCTTCATAGGGCTTAGTTTAATGTCTCCTTTCCTGTTGATCGACTCTCTGGCCACTCCTAGATCCCATTTAGTCTTTCCTTTAACCTGAACCTCAAAGTAAAATCTGCCTGAAGAGAAACTCTGCTTTCCTAAAACACAGATACAACCAAAAAATCTCTTTGGATTGTCTGGAAGATTCTTCTTCACATCACTATCATACACTTGTTTCCCATCATCAGACAGGATGAGTGTAGGATGTGCTGCATCAGGATCAAGAGTCACATCCACTGCATACTGCTGGACCCTCTTCAGCTCAGACTCAAACAGCTTCTTCATCTCTTTACTGAGCGTCTCCTCCAGCTGAGCCACAGCTCTCACCACAGTCCCCTCATATGATGGACGGACGCTGATCTCTGTCCAGTCCTTGGTGGGTGGAGGGTGGATGTTCAGGGACTGGACACTCTGGAGAAGATGGAGGTGGTCTTCAGAGCGTGAGAGCTGCTCCACCTCAGTCCTTCTCTTGATCAGCTCAGAGATTTCCTGTTCCAGCTCTTTGATGAAGCCTTCAGCCTGTTGCTCTGTTGTTCTCTGCTTCTCTTCGATGGTGTCGATGAGCTCCTTCAGGCCTCTCTCAACAGACTCCTTCAGAGAAGTGAAAACCTGAACACCTTCTGCTTTCTCTCTGTCTGCATCTTCCTCACTGAGGCCAACCGACTGTTTGATCTCCTCAATCTTCAGTCGTCTCTTCTGGATCATCTGCTGAATTTCAGCCTCTGTCTTCCCCAGCTCGGCCTTCTTTCCTTCATATTCTTCCTTCAGAGGAACAACATCGTGCATCTTGTGGTCTGAAACAGTGCAGAACGTGCAGACACATGTCTGGTCGGTCTTACAGAACAGCTCCAGAGGTTTATCGTGCTTCGTACACATCCTGCCTTCCAGGTTCTCTACAGGGTCGATCAGCTGATGTCTTTTCAGGCCTGAAGCTGTCAGATGAGACTCCAGGTGAGTCTCACAGTAGGAGACCAGACACACCAGGCAGGACTTCAGGGCCTTCAGTTTGGTTCCAGTGCAGACGTCACAGGGAACTTCTCCTGGTTTGGACTCTTGTTGATCCGAGCTGCTGCTGCTGCTGCTGCTGCTGCTGCTGCTGCTGCTGCTGCTGCTGCTGCTGCTGCTGCTGCTGCTGCTGCAGGCTTCCTGCTGAGCTGACTGTCTGAACTGAGAAACCATCTGAGAGATGAAAGTGTTGACCCGCAACTTCGGTCTTGTGTTGAAAACCTCATTACACATCGGACACTGGTACTGGGCGTTAGTTTTCCAGTGTTCAGTGATGCAGTTTTTACAGAAGTTGTGTCCACATGATGTGCTGACAGGATCAGCGAACACATCCAGACAGATGGAGCACAGGAACTGATCTTCAGATCTCAGATAGTTCACAGCAGCCATATCTACATGTAGGGAGAAAAGAAACATTTATTTCAAAATACAGTTTGAATTATTAGTTTAAAATAAAATAAGTTTGATTACAGTTCTTTTGTAACATAAGATAATAGATACAAGTAAAAAAAAAAAAAAAAATTATATGAGAGATTTATTGGGATATTGGCACTAAGCTGAGGAACTGCAACCATTTAAGCTGTGCTGGTAAACTAAAGCTGTCTATGAAAACAAAATAGTTCAGAAAATATACATAGCATGTTTTCTAGATCAGTTTTTTATTTAAGAATAGCACTACTCAGAAAGCTTACTTGATGACACACACTGCCTTTCCTCTAGCTGCTTCACATTAAAAGCCTGCTGGTGGTTCACTGGTGGAAAGCTTTTATTGTGAAACAGCCAGAGGAAATCAAAGGTAACATGGCTGCAGGAAGCGATCAATAAACAGGAATAATATCAGTATAAAGTATAAAGTTCGCTGCAGGCAGGTGCAGCAAAGTGTCTCAATATTCAGCTACAGACTTTTCTTTTGAGCTGCTGTTACTTATAGCCTTCTTGAAGACCGTACTGGGGACGCCAGTTGCAGGATGGGTCTTAACTTGTTACAAGTAGCCTAGAAAATTGCAATATAAATAAATAATATAAGTCATTGGCACCTTTTCACATTCCTTTCTAAAAATGTAGCCTACTTTTACTCTTGGTATTTTCTTTGGTCAAGTAATCTACTTTTAATTTTGCTACAGTTTTCATTCATACCTTCATAACTTCACCAGTCTATAATCTGCATTTTGCTTCATTCAGGCTGTGCGCAGTTACACAGATCAGCCCTGGTCTCGGGCGCTTGTCACAGCACAGAGCTGGGTAGATGCAAACATTTAGAAAATCAGGCAAACACCTTTTCAGTTTAAGGCTTTATTATTTATGGTTCTACTGATCCAACTGAAATCCAGTGAGCGCACACCATGGCCGGTGTTAAAGAGCGACGCAGGCTGTTGGTTAACACCGGCAAGTAAATACTTTTATTTTCCATTAACAGCGTGTTAGAAGCGTATTAAGTCTCTGCAGAGCAAATGTAGACTTCACACTGTAACATCTAAGTCGGATGATCACTGGATTTATTCTGATATATTAACAGTATCCTGTTGTTGAAAAGAGCATTGCTTTCTTTAGTTCTTTCACATTAGTTATTAATTGTTGTATAGCGAGTCCATAAACCAAATGTCGCCGGTGAAACTAATCTTGGCTTTCACTCAGCAGCTACCAGCTGTTCTTTATTCAGGAAACAATCATTTTTGAGATGCACAGAGAGAGAAAGAAGATATGGGTGGATAGAACAGACCTGTTGGCCTTTACGCATGACGCTCAGCTTCCTCTGAATGTAGGTTTACCTGCTTCAACAACGATCTGCTCCATGTTACTGCCACAATCACCCTTTGCATTGTTAAGATTATATAGATACTTTAGGAATAATCCGATTGTGTTGGCAGCCTGTGTTATTTCAAAGCAAGTGGTTTGGTATAGGCTACATGTCCATAATAAAAGAGACAAGCAAAAATAGTGGCTAGGCAGCAAGCTGATATTTAAAGTGATCTTATCAACACATGGAGATTTAAAAAGGAAAATAATTGTATCAAACAGAAATAGCTAAATTACAGATAATTAACAAGCAAAGCAAATTGCATTACCTAGAAATAACCTGTTGCACAGTAGTTGAAATATGTATTTAAATATATAGTAGATAGAGTAGTTGTACTTTTTCTGGAGTAAAGATTTTGAGTACTCTACCACTGGGCAGCGGCACCAGTAATAGTGCTGATATGGTGAACATGTGACTGACAGCAATAGGGCAAGAGATGAGTCAAAGCCCGCAGAGTCCAAAGCACCAGTTTATGGTAAGATTGATGATGATATGGCTTATTTATGTATTGTATTCAAAGACTCAGTTGAGTTGATTTCTTTACTTTAAGAGAGTTAAAGAGGTGTTTCTTGTTTTAGTACGTATGCACTGTACTTTCATTCTCAAGAATACAGAAATAAAGGTCTCTAAAGACCCAGAGCCCCTGACAAATGCGTTGTCTGGAGAGTGGGCTGACCAGGGACAAACTCCTGGGCCATTTGTTTGCCCCTGTTCGTGACCATCCTTGTCCTGAAAAACCTGTTTAGTGTACATAAACTGTTTTAAAAGTAGTCAAAATTGCCACACAGAGATGAGCATCCTACAGTATTTTAAGATGAAGAGGACAGAGGTCACAGGAGGAGGAGTAGAAATAACTGAGGAAGACGAGCTTGTAAGTTGTATGGATAGCTACTAGACATTCTAAAACTCACGTAGTAAAAGACTTTGTTAGTCCAATGGCATGTCATCAGAGTTTACATTGAAGACCGTTGTGTGTTCACAAACATTTGTTGCAGGGAGAGTCAAGGCACAGGAAATATCACAAGTGTAAGCCCTTCAGCGTCCCCTCCAGGTTCAAAGTCACTCCTACACCCCTCAACGTCACAAGTATGAAATGAAAAGAGTGGAACTTCCTGCCTGAGTAGAGCTGCAGGTTTGTGTTGATGCTGCTTGTTGAAGCTGTAAATGTGATCAGCTGTACTCACCAGTGTTTGGCAGAGACTCTGCTGTGTTGTTGAGAAAGACCTGATGAAGTCAGTCTGAATTTCCTTTCAGAGACAAACAGAGACTCGTCTCGACGGCTGCTGCTCTGACAAACTCTGAAGCTCTCCTCTTTCCAGAGTTGCTCCACCTGTCACTGCAGCTCTGCTGCTCACGTTTTGTTTCCTCCTTTTGATTTACAAGATTATTGGGGGCAAAGGTGGTGCTTTACCTGACAGGTGGGAGGAGTAAGGTTTGTGAAGAGCTCCTGCTGACCTTAATTATGTGATGAAAGTTTAAGGTTTCTTAGCCTCACTTTAACCAGAAGAGTTTAGTGTATTGGACAAATTTCATTCACAGCAGGACTGTTGCTTTAGTTTCAGCGAGGTGTACCTAATAAACTGGCCAACTGAGTGTGTTTCTCTTTAGAGGACCCACACAGTGTGAGTTAATTCTACTTTCTACCTGTTTACCAGATTTCTTTGTTTCAGGGATTTTCAAGAAATCAGCTTCTGTGTTTAAAACAAGAGAATCAGGAGAACGAGACTTCCAGAAAACTCGAAATAAGTAGATTTGGAAACTGGTGAAGATGGAGGAGATGGCGTCTGCTCTTGGAACAGAAACGTCAGAGGTTGTTAGTTGTATCCTCGGCCGTCATGAGTGATTATCCAGTCCATGATGGACGCTGTGTTCACTCACATGTATCAGGTTGGTGCGGCAGCAGGACAGTAACTCTGGGCTCATCGTTCCTTTGTGTTGGGATCCATCTAGCGGTCGTTCTGGGTCATAACAGCAGTCAGTGGTCAACATGGACGCCTGTGGGAGTCATGTAGAAGTGGTCAGACGTGAGGACGGCTGTCAGCTCTCAAGAAATGCTCACAAGGAAAATTTATTATTTACAAACTGTTTATTGTTGAATGACTCTTTCACAGAGACGATACAACACATTTGTTGTCAGTGTTGTCACCTGTAAGACGGAGCGCTGCAGAAAACTATACAGGTGCTGGTCATATAATTAGTATATCATCAAAAAGTTGATTTATTTCAGTAATTCCATTCAAAAAGTGAAACTTGTATAATGTATACATTCATTCCACACAGACTGACATATTTCAAGTGTTCATTCCTTTTAATTTTGATGATGATAACTGACAACTAATGAAAACCCCAAAATCAGTATCTCAGAAAATTAGAATATTGTGAAAAGGTTCAATATTGAAGACACCTGGTGCCACACTCTAATCAGCTAATTAACTCAAAACACCTGCAAAGGCCTTTAAATGGTCTCTCAGTCTAGTTCTGTAGGCTACACAATCATGGGGAAGACCGCTGACTTGACAGCTGTTGACGACCATTGACACCTTGCACAAGGAGGGCAAGACACAAAAGGTCATTGCTAAAGAGGTCCAAGCACATTAATAGAGAGGCGAAGGGAAGGAAAAGATGTGGTAGAAAAAAGTGTACAAGCAATAGGGATAACCGCACCCTGGAGAGGATTGTGAAACAAAAGCCATTCAAAAATGTGGGGGAGATTCACAAAGAGTGGACTGCAGCTGGAGTCAGTGCTTCAAGAACCACCACAGACAGACGTATGTAAGACATGGGTTTCAGCTGTTGCATTCCTTGTGTCAAGCCACTCTTGAACAAGACACAGCGCCAGAAGCATCTCGCCTGGGCTGAAGACAAAAAGGACTGTACTGCTGCTGAGTGGAAATCAAGGTCCCAGAGTCTGGAGGAAGAGAGGAGAGGCACAGAATCCACGTTGCTTGAAGTCCAGTGTAAAGTTTCCACAGTCAGTGATGGTTTGGGGTGCCATGTCATCTGCTGGTGTTGGTCCACTGTGTTTTTTGAGGTCCAAGGTCAACGCAGCCATCCACCAGGAAGTTTTAGAGCACTTCATGCTTCCTGCTGCTGACCAACTTTATGGAGATACAGATTTCATTTTCCAACAGGACTTGGCACCTGCACACAGTGCCAAAGCTACCAGTACCTGGTTTAAGGACCATGGTATCCCTGTTCTTAATTGGCCAGCAAACTCGCCTGACCTTAACCCTATAGAAAATCTATGGGGTATTGTGAAGAGGAAGATGCGATACGCCAGACCCAACAATGCAGAAGAGCTGAAGGCCACTATCAGAGCAACCTGGGCTCTCATAACACCTGAGCAGTGCCACAGACTGATGGACTCCATGCCATGCCACATTGCTGCAGTAATTCAGGCAAAAGGAGCCCCAACTAAGTATTGAGTGCTGTACATGCTCATACTTTTCATGTTCATACTTTTCAGTTGGCTAATATTTCTAAAAATCCTTTTTTTGTATTGGTCTTAAGTAATATTCAAATTTTCTGAGATACTGAATTTGGGATTTTCATTAGTTGTCAGTTTTAATCATATAATTAAATGAAATAAACACTTGAAATATATCGGTCTGTGTGTAATGAATGAATATAATATCCAAGTTTCACTTTTTGAATGGAATTACTGAAATAAATCAACTTTTTGATGATATTCTAATGATATAACCAGCACCTGTACAAATGTTAATTCTAGTTTGTGTTCCTGTGAAACAGCCTAAAGTCCTGAGAACGGACTGAGAGGCAGTTTGAAGCAGTTCCAGTGGGCTGCTGTATAGTGGGCCTGTGGACAAACAGCCAGAGTTATATTTTAACCGTCACAAGTATGAAATGAAAAGAGTGGAACTTCCTGCCTGAGTAGAGCTGCAGGTTTGTGTTGATGCTGCTTGTTGAAGCTGTAAATGTGATCAGCTGTACTCACCAGTGTTTGGCAGAGACTCTGCTGTGTTGTTGAGAAAGACCTGATGAAGTCAGTCAGAATTTCCTTTCAGAGACAAACAGAGACTCGTCTCGACGGCTGCTGCTCTGACAAACTCTGAAGCTCTCCTCTTCTCCTCCTCTCCAGAGTTGCTCCGACTCTCACTGCAGCTCTGCTGCTCACGTTTTGTTTCCTCCCTTTTGATTTACATGTAGAGCTGTTGCTGATGTGTTGAAATTTTAAGGTTCCGTACCTTCACTTTAACATTAACATTTGACATTGCATTATTATTGCTTTAACACATTAATTAATTAGCACTGACAATTATTTAATCGCATGTTAATGCAGTTTTTATTATTATTATTATTAACAATTCAACTTCTGCGGCGGTACACCTTGCTCAACCACTTCACCTAACTCTAAAAGGGAAACTTGCTGAACATTGGCCTCTGCTCCCTGATAAAAGAAAAATGTTTCTGCTGATACCTGTTCAGATAAAAACAAGAAAACTGGACTCTGATGGTAACTTGTTTTAACAAGCTATAAAAGGTAATGAATGCCCTGGCAGTGGCAAATAGCTTTGGTTTTAGATTTGATTTTATTACATTAATGTTTAAGTTGAGATTTACAAGAAATATTTTATTGCTACTGTGTAAAGGGAATACTGCTGGGAAAAAGCACTTTATTTGTTTAGTGTTTGCAAACCACACGTTATTGCACTTTTGTGTATATAGCAGTTCATTTAAATTAAAAGTGCACAATACACTACTTTAGAATTCATTATTCAATTTTGCGCATAACAATGCGATTGATCGCGATTAAAAATTTTAATCGTTGCCCACCACTAAAATAAACAATTACAAACTTAACAAATATTTGCAGAAAACGCTAAAAACAGGAACTATAACATATCTCTGGCTTGGAAAGGCCGATCAACACAAAACTTGATGACCTTATGTGCCATGCCCCCCTGAGGGGCTGTGCAAAATTTTGTACAGCAAGCCCCTAGTAGGCGCTATTGAAAAAAATCCCATTGACTTACATGCATTTCATATCTCCATAAACACAAGTCCGAATGATACCAAATTTGGGGAAATTGTTCCCCATGGGCCCCTAATTACACCTAAAAAAATGTGGTGCAATTCCGCTTACAGGTTGCGCTAAAATCGAAGCTGAAATCTCTCACTAAATGGCACCAATGGCATTTTCAAACGGCAGGAAATTTTGCCTCGGTTTGGAATGGCCGATCAAGACCAAACTCAGGGACCTTATGCGTCATGACAGCAGGGCACCTCGGTCGACTCGCGCCCTCCGCGGGGCCAGATGGGGCGGCTTGCGCCGGGAGGCTTGGACCTCGCTTACAACTGCTTGCAGTTCTACTTGTATTTGCAATTCACATCACTTGTCACTGATCAATCACTGCGTTCCACCATATCAATTCAACACTTTGCGGCAGCATATCAGTTGATTTGACTCACGGAGCCTCCGTCTGCTTATATAACATGTATTCTGTGTGATCGGCTGAATGTGCAGCCTTTCTTTTTCTTTTGCTTGCTTTTTTAGTCTTTACTGTAGTTCAGTGACTTGGTTAACCCCTTACTCGTTTTCTACACGGAGGGCTTTTATTGTGAAGCAGCCACAGGAAACACGATGTATTTGTCAGGAAATACAACTTCAATGTAAACCAGGCTTTTCTGTCCATTTAGGTGCTAAAGTCACTGCTTACTCGGGCCTTGTGTTCAACAACTAGTTTCAATTCAATTCAGCCTTACTGGCACGAATGTTAAACAACAATATTGCCAAAGCTTAATGTATAATACATAAGAACTATTGATTTCATTAAATAAAATAAATAAAGCAGTAAAAGTGTGTTTTTGTGTAAAAAAAAATAATAATATAAACAAAATAAATAAAATGTTAACAATTAAATAAATAAAACTAAGCGTGTGTGTTGAATTCAATTCATATGGTTCATTAAATAAAATAATTAAAGCAGTAAGTGTGTGTTTGTGTGTGTAATAAAAAATAAATAAAAATATTAAAATAAAATTAATAAATAAAACAGTAGTGTACATAGTTTATTTTACAGTTTTTATTTTACAATCATGTTTACACATTTCTCATCTTACAAGTATTCATTAAACAAATAAAACTTGGCCTAAGTGACCAGAAATGAACAAACACTTTTCAGACAAAACTGAAAATTCAACATCTCTTCTGTTAATTAACTTTGTCAAATAACCTTTTATGGTCAATATAACAATGACACATACTGCATATTCTGTAGACATTATTATAATAATAATAATAAAATAATCTTTATTTGTAGAGCACTTTTCAAAAACAAGTTACAAAGTGCTTTAACAAGTGTAAAGACAATAATACCCAAAAGACAATAATACAAAAACAATAAAAGATTAAAGCATGAAAGCATTGAAAAGACTAAAATGTTTTTTTGCAAATTAACTCAAACTTCAGCTTGACATATGTGTGTACAACAGTGTACAAAATGTTGGAAAAGAAAGGGCAAGTAACATAAAATAGCCACTAGTGGCGATTTGGGGATCAAACCCTTTTCTGCTTTAGTGATTTCAAACACTTTCACACATGTGCTTGAACATTGTTATGAACCATATCCTGTGAGTTTTGTAACGCCTGGAGAAACAGTTTCTGATTTCTGGTTTGTGTTATCTCGCCCATTTTTGGGGGCATTTGAAGCCCCCCTGTGGTCGCTTCAAACTCTTAGAGTACGTCTCAGGCGCTCCTGTGGATGTATCCTGGAGTGGGCTTGTGCGAGTGCCGATTACATCGGCTTTCGATGATTGAAGGGATATTAAGGTGATTTTAACTTGCTATCAGAACTAAAATGACATGAATCAGTCTCTAAATCTGCACCCCACTGCACTGTTTCCCGTTCATTTACTTATTTGTGGCAACACAACACGCCACAATATCAACGCTGACCGCCACATACTATATACTCGCTTCCTCTCCTCGTTCTTCAAAGGACATCTACGTGACAGGAGCTGTTATAACAGTAGTTGAGAACATCAGGTTCTAAACTGGTGTAGGATACAGCTCTGTCCTGTACAGACTGATTAAATTTTTCAGTTTTCAGTCTGAAAAAGTGGTTTTGGAAAAGGTAGGACGGAGGTGACTGGAGGAGCTGAGGTTAGTAAAGCTAATTAGTGATGCAAACTAGTCCTTTTAAGCTAACGAGGAGACGTTTCTTTTTGGATTTGGATGGCTCTTGTGTGATGCAAATAAAATGCACCTCAGAAGGGAGGAGGTTTCTCATGCTGCCTATTTTTTATATTAATGTCTACAGATAAATGTCAGAAGCTGTAAAATGAAGACACAAAAGGCCACATGAACAGTCGTATCTAGAATGATTCTGAGGTCATATTAACAGGGTTTTAGGGGTGATGCCCAAAACTGTTAAATCACTGTGGAGCAAAAGAACCAACCAAATTACTTTCCGCAGATCTGATGGTTGTAGTTCCTCCAGTAGACTGATCTTTGGGTGTTGGTTATTTATTATCTGCTCTAGCTTTTCCAACTATTTGTTCAGAGATATGGTGAAAATAACGGCCCAATATCATGTGAAATTACACATTTTTCATTGGAAAACATGAAATATTCTTGGTGTCCCTTCCTGTTGATCGACTCTCTGGCCACTCCTAAAGTCCATTTAGTCTTTCCTTTAACATGAACCTTAAAGTAAAATCTGCCTGAAGAGAAACTCTGCTTTCCTAAGACAATTCTACAACGAGTAAATCTCTTTGGGTTGTTGAGGAAACTTACACACACCATCACAATTCACTTCTTTCCCATTTTCAGATAGGGTGAGATAGGGATATGCTGTATCAGGATCAAGAGTCACATTCACTACATACTGCGGGACCCTCTCCAGCTCAGCTTTGACCAGCTGCTTCATCTCTTTACTGAGTTTATCCTCCAGCTGAGCCACAGCTCTCACCACAGTCCCCTCATATGATGGACGGACGCTGACCTTTGTCCAGTCCTTGGTGGGTGGAGGGTGGATGTTCAGGGACTGGACACTCTGGAGAAGATGGAGGTGGTCTTCAGAGCGTGAGAGCTGCTCCACCTCAGTCCTTCTCTTGATCAGCTCAGAGATTTCCTGTTCCAGCTCTTTGATGAAGCCTTCAGCCTGTTGCTCTGTTGTTCTCTGCTTCTCTTCGATGGTGTCGATGAGCTCCTTCAGGCCTCTCTCAACAGACTCCTTCAGAGAAGTGAAGACCTGAACACCTTCTGCTTTCTCTCTGTCTGCATCTTCCTCACTGAGGCCAACCGAGTGTTTGATCTCCTGAATCTTTAGTCGTCTCTTCTGGATCATCTGCTGAATTTCAGCCTCTGTCTTCCCCAGCTCGGCCTTCTTTCCTTCATATTCTTCCTTCAGAGGAACAACATCGTGCATCTTGTGGTCTGAAACAGTGCAGAACGTGCAGACACATGTCTGGTCGGTCTTACAGAACAGCTCCAGAGGTGTGTCGTGCTTCGTACACATCCTGCCTTCCAGGTTCTCCACAGGGTCGATCAGCTGATGTCTTTTCAGGCCTGAAGCTGTCAGATGAGACTCCAGGTGAGTCTCACAGTAGGAGACCAGACACACCAGGCAGGACTTCAGGGCCTTCAGTTTGGTTCCAGTGCAGACGTCACAGGGAACTTCTCTTGGTTTGGACACTTGACGATCTGAGCTGCTGCAGGCTTCCTGCTGAGCTGACTTGAACTGAGAAACTATCTCAGAGATGAAAGTGTTGATATGCAGCTCAGGTCTAATGTGGAAAACCTCTTTACACATCGGGCACTGGTACCTGTCATTAGTTTTCCAGTGTTCAGTGATGCAGTTTTTACAGAAGTTGTGTCCACATGATGTGCTGACAGGATCAGCGAACACATCCAGACAGATGGAGCACAGGAACTGATCTTCAGACAGCAGACAGCTGACAGCAGCCATATCTACACATTAAGGGAGAAAGAAAACATTGAATTCAAAATAGTTTTAATTTTTTAAGAAGAAAGTACAGTTCTTTTAGACCCATTTTTATTGAAGAATAGCACTGCTAAGAAAGCAGCGGTAGCAAGGTTTTAAACTTTTCTTTGGTCCGAACAAAATATTTATGCCAGTGGATCACTTCACAACTCTTTCAAAACAATCATTCGTGAACAATGAATTTTACTAGTATCTATTATTTAGATACTTATTTGAAGAGTTGCTAGTAACGATTTCCACTTTACTAGTATCCATTATTTAGATACTAGTACCTATTCATTACTAGCCATTCATTAATAACTAGTGAAATGGCTTGTAGATAGTAACATTTTAATTACATTATATTTATTCATTTAGCTGACGCTTTTATCCAAAGCGACTTACAATTGTAAGTCAGAGGTCGCACGCCTCTGGAGCAACGAGGGGTTAAATGTCTTGCTCAGGGACACAATGGTAGATGTGTCACAGTGGGGGACTGAACCCAGGTCTCTCACACCAAAGGCATGTGTCTTATCCATTGTGCCATCATCCCCCTGCTCCGTAATTGTTACTAGTATGAATGGAATAGTTACTAGTAACTAAAAAATAAGCACTAGTATCTAAATAGTAGACTAGAAAAATGGAAATGGTCATTAGCTACTATTCAATTAGTTACTAGTAACTAATCAATAGGTAGTAGTAACTGAATAATAGGTACTAGTAAAATGGAAATAGTAGTAACTAATCAATAGGTACTAGTAACTGAATAATAGATACTAGTAAAATGGAAATAGTAGTAACTAATCAATAGGTACTAGTAACTGAATAATAGATACTAGTAAAATGGAAATAGTAGTAACTAATCAATAGGTACTAGTAACTGAATAATAGGTACTAGTAAAATGGAAATAGTAGTAACTAATCAATAGGTACTAGTAACTGAATAATAGGTACTAGTAAAATGGAAATAGTAGTAACTAATCAATAGGTACTAGTAACTGAATAATAGGTACTAGTAAAATGGAAATAGTAGTAACTAATCAATAGGTACTAGTAACTGGATAATAGGTACTAGTAAAATGGAAATAGTAGTAACTACTCAATAGGTACTAGTAACTGAATAATAGATACTAGTAAAATGGAAATAGTAGTAACTAATCAATAGGTACTAGTAACTGAATAATAGGTACTAGTAAAATGGAAATAGTAGTAACTAATCAATAGGTACTAGTAACTGAATAATAGGTACTAGTAAAATGGAAATAGTAGTAACTAATCAATAGGTACTAGTAACTGAATAATAGGTACTAGTAAAATGGAAATAGTAGTAACTAATCAATAGGTACTAGTAACTGAATAATAGGTACTAGTAAAATGGAAATAGTAGTAACTAATCAATAGGTACTAGTAACTGAATAATAGGTACTAGTAAAATGGAAATAGTAGTAACTAATCAATAGGTACTAGTAACTGAATAATAGGTACTAGTAAAATGGAAATAGTAGTAACTAATCAATAGGTACTAGTAACTGAATAATAGGTACTAGTAAAATGGAAATAGTAGTAACTAATCAATAGGTACTAGTAACTGAATAATAGATACTAGTAAAATGGAAATAGTAGTAACTAATCAATAGGTACTAGTAACTGAATAATAGGTACTAGTAAAATGGAAATAGTAGTAACTAATCAATAGGTACTAGTAACTGAATAATAGGTACTAGTAAAATGGAAATAGTAGTAACTAATCAATAGGTACTAGTAACTGAATAATAGGTACTAGTAAAATGGAAATAGTAGTAACTAATCAATAGGTACTAGTAACTGAATAATAGGTACTAGTAAAATGGAAATAGTAGTAACTAATCAATAGGTACTAGTAACTGAATAATAGGTACTAGTAAAATGGAAATAGTAGTAACTAATCAATAGGTACTAGTAACTGAATAATAGTACTAGTAAAATGGAAATAGTAGTAACTAATCAATAGGTACTAGTAACTGAATAATAGATACTAGTAAAATGGAAATAGTAGTAACTAATCAATAGGTACTAGTAACTGAATAATAGATACTAGTAAAATGGAAATAGTAGTAACTAATCAATAGGTACTAGTAACTGAATAATAGATACTAGTAAAATGGAAATAGTAGTAACTAATCAATAGGTACTAGTAACTGAATAATAGATACTAGTAAAATGGAAATAGTAGTAACTAATCAATAGGTACTAGTAACTGAATAATAGGTACTAGTAAAATGGAAATAGCAGTAACTAATCAATAGGTACTAGTAACTGAATAATAGGTACTAGTAAAATGGAAATAGCAGTAACTAATCAATAGGTACTAGTAACTGAATAATAGGTACTAGTAAAATGGAAATAGCAGTAACTAATCAATAGGTACTAGTAACTGAATAATAGGTACTAGTAAAATGGAAATAGTAGTAACTAATCAATAGGTACTAGTAACTGAATAATAGATACTAGTAAAATGGAAATAGTAGTAACTAATCAATAGGTACTAGTAACTGAATAATAGATACTAGTAAAATGGAAATAGTAGTAACTAATCAATAGGTACTAGTAACTGAATAATAGGTACTAGTAAAATGGAAATAGTAACTAATCAATAGGTACTAGTAACTGAATAATAGGTACTAGTAAAATGGAAATAGCAGTAACTAATCAATAGGTACTAGTAACTGAATAATAGATACTAGTAAAATGGAAATAGTAGTAACTAATCAATAGGTACTAGTAACTGAATAATAGGTACTAGTAAAATGGAAATAGTAGTAACTAATCAATAGGTACTAGTATCCATTAATAGATACTAGTAAAATGGAAATAGCTAGCTAATCAATAGGTACTAGTAACTGAATTGGTACTAGTAAAATGGAAATAGCAGTAACTAATCAATAGGTACTAGTAACTGAATAATAGGTACTAGTAAGTGGAAATAGCAGTAACTAATCAATAGGTACTAGTAACTGCTAATAGACACTAGTAAAATGGAACAGTAGTAACTAATCAATAGGTACTAGTAACTGAATAATAGTACTAGTAAAATGGAAATAGTAGTAACTAATCAATAGGTACTAGTAACTGAATAATAGTTACTAGTAAAATGGAAATAGTAGTAACTAATCAATAGGTACTAGTAACTGAATAATAGGTACTAGTAAATGGAAATAGTAGTAACTAATCAATAGGTACTAGTAACTGAATAATAGGTACTAGTAAAATGGAAATAGTAGTAACTAATCAATAGGTACTAGTAACTGAATAATAGGTACTAGTAAAATGGAAATAGTAGTAACTAATCAATAGGTACTAGTAACTGAATAATAGATACTAGTAAAATGGAAATAGTAGTAACTAATCAATAGGTACTAGTAACTGAATAATAGGTACTAGTAAAATGGAAATAGTAGTAACTAATCAATAGGTACTAGTAACTGAATAATAGGTACTAGTAAAATGGAAATAGTAGTAACTAATCAATAGGTACTAGTAACTGAATAATAGGTACTAGTAAAATGGAAATAGTAGTAACTAATCAATAGGTACTAGTAACTGAATAATAGGTACTAGTAAAATGGAAATAGTAGTAACTAATCAATAGGTACTAGTAACTGAATAATAGATACTAGTAAAATGGAAATAGTAGTAACTAATCAATAGGTACTAGTAACTGAATAATAGGTACTAGTAAAATGGAAATAGTAGTAACTAATCAATAGGTACTAGTAACTGAATAATAGGTACTAGTAAAATGGAAATAGTAGTAACTAATCAATAGGTACTAGTAACTGAATAATAGGTACTAGTAAAATGGAAATAGTAGTAACTAATCAATAGGTACTAGTAACTGAATAATAGGTACTAGTAAAATGGAAATAGTAGTAACTAATCAATAGGTACTAGTAACTGAATAATAGGTACTAGTAAAATGGAAATAGTAGTAACTAATCAATAGGTACTAGTAACTGAATAATAGGTACTAGTAAAATGGAAATAGTAGTAACTAATCAATAGGTACTAGTAACTGAATAATAGGTACTAGTAAAATGGAAATAGTAGTAACTAATCAATAGGTACTAGTAACTGAATAATAGATACTAGTAAAATGGAAATAGTAGTAACTAATCAATAGGTACTAGTAACTGAATAATAGGTACTAGTAAAATGGAAATAGTAGTAACTAATCAATAGGTACTAGTAACTGAATAATAGGTACTAGTAAAATGGAAATAGTAGTAACTAATCAATAGGTACTAGTAACTGAATAATAGGTACTAGTAAAATGGAAATAGTAGTAACTAATCAATAGGTACTAGTAACTGAATAATAGGTACTAGTAAAATGGAAATAGTAGTAACTAATCAATAGGTACTAGTAACTGAATAATAGGTACTAGTAAAATGGAAATAGTAGTAACTAATCAATAGGTACTAGTAACTGAATAATAGGTACTAGTAAAATGGAAATAGTAGTAACTAATCAATAGGTACTAGTAACTGAATAATAGATACTAGTAAAATGGAAATAGTAGTAACTAATCAATAGGTACTAGTAACTGAATAATAGATACTAGTAAAATGGAAATAGTAGTAACTAATCAATAGGTACTAGTAACTGAATAATAGGTACTAGTAAAATGGAAATAGTAGTAACTAATCAATAGGTACTAGTAACTGAATAATAGGTACTAGTAAAATGGAAATAGCAGTAACTAATCAATAGGTACTAGTAACTGAATAATAGGTACTAGTAAAATGGAAATAGCAGTAACTAATCAATAGGTACTAGTAACTGAATAATAGGTACTAGTAAAATGGAAATAGCAGTAACTAATCAATAGGTACTAGTAACTGAATAATAGGTACTAGTAAAATGGAAATAGCAGTAACTAATCAATAGGTACTAGTAACTGAATAATAGGTACTAGTAAAATGGAAATAGCAGTAACTAATCAATAGGTACTAGTAACTGAA